GCGTTTTGCGGCCTTAAAATAAGATATTAACGGAATTTCCGAGCTATCTATTAATGGATTCCTCTCAGAGAATCGTAACATTAATTCAGCTTCTCAGACCCTTAATTTGAAATATTAATTGGTCCTTTATGTCAGTAATTGATGATTCGATTCTTGCCAAAATAATTCATCAAAAAACACCAATGGAATTAAACAGAAAATATACGTATAAGACTACGTAACGTAATGTAATATGTGCAGAGATTCTCAAACTTCGTATTCAACAAGTTTCGCAATATGTACAAAATTGAGACATGATGTAAAATATACAGGAAGTTATAGACGACATGCAAAATAATCTTATGTCAGATATACAATAGTTCGACATATAAATTTGTGTATATTTAGACACAAAATAATTTCTTTTTTTTTATTCCTTAACGTCTATTAATCTTTCCAATTAATCTTTTTTCGCACCTAATTACATGTTAATACGTTTCGTTACGTTCTGTCTGTTAATATTATTATTTTCTTTTTTATGGCTTATTCACTTCTGTATTCATCACTACCGAGCCCTCGGTCTTTCTTCTTGCATTCATACAGCGCGAGATATACACAATGTGTCAAATAACCATCGTTCTCACGGATTATCGTTACTCACATTCTTCCTTCGTGATGACCATTTTCTCTATGAACATTCGGTTCTATCGATTATTTACACCAAAATCTGTAATTTCCGTCTGGACTTGAACGATCGACTTAACAAGAAGGCGATCGTTCTAGAAAAACACGTTAGAAAAGAATCGGAGAACGATAAGCGAACAGCGAATACGTGCTGATTCTAATGACTTCGTAACAGAGGGAACTGCTCCGTTGGTTTGGAAACCTCGACGACGGTCTTCGGAAACCTGGCACTAGACCAACGAGAGGCTGGCTGGACGTTATATTTAGTAACGTCCGAGAACGACGGGTCCGATGAACGGGTAGGGGTGCCGCCGATTCGAAATTGCATTCGTGTCGGACTAGTTATTGTATCTTGAACTGCGATGCTTTACGGAACGTTCTATTTACAAGTGAGTGAATATTTGTTACATGCCTTAAAATGTTAAACGTTTGATAATTTTAAAATGTTCAAAATCTTTCTCACAAAAATAAATTTTTTTAACGGACAAGTAAAAAGCATTTTTAAAAAAACAATTTTACTTTTCAACACAGTCACTTTTAAGGAATACACATTTTGTATGTGAATCCATGAACTTTATCTAACTCGGTTAAACAAACTTTCAATTTCGTCACATAATGACGAAAAATAATTACTCAAAATATATTTCGTCCAAAGTACAATAATTCTGCAATAATTTCTTTTTTTCGTGATATATACAGGCTCCATTTTGTACTAGACTGTGTCGAGCCGACTGAGGGACAGGAAAAATTTAAAACATTGCCAGATGAGATTGATACATACTTGGCTCTTGAAGCTTATCAGTTTTTGGTGATACTTGGCTCTTGAAGTTTATCAGTTTTTGTGATATCAAACCAAGATGTAATTGAATAGTATTAAATTTAATATCCGCGTTCTGTTTATGCTTCGCAGAAACTACGTTGAGAAATAGAATATTATTTAATTACACAATGCGACACATACAGATTTCTCAGAATAAGATTGTAGATTCAACCTTTCCTTCCCATGATTCAATTCGATGACTAAGCGCATTAATCCTCAGTAACCATTCTGCACAAATAGTACATTTTGGATTTTCATCTATTCTCTCCTCAGAACTCATTTTTTATTAGTGTATAGTATTTAACATTGCTGATAATAACAAAAATACAAATATTTTGACAGAAAATTCATACAAAATAGCTATTTATTATTTAAAATTTAACATTTAAGAAAATTGCAATTACCTGTAACTTTATTACAAAGCAATATCCAATTTGTTTACATCCTGATTAACCACAGACTACCATGAATGGTTTATTGAGCTAGAGATATTGCGGTTCATCGAATAATAAGGTTTGTTGCTTGCACTTTTGGCACTTAATGTTCGCTTTTTTTCTCTTCACTTTAGATATGTTCCAAAATTCATTGCCAGCGCTAAAAATCTATACTTTACGTTACGTACATAGTCTGTATATTTATCTCATTTTAAATGTAAAAATTTATGAAAATTTCAAGCAATACGAACAAATCTATAGACCAATACAACACTCACTCACTGAACGCCTAAATAACAGTCAAGTGTGATCGGTTTTTGCTTTTAGATGCAACTAATCACATTCAGTTGCTTTACTTTACTTAAGCCTCTCATTAACCTCGTTGTTAGTGAACGAGTGTTATCAGAAGACATGGTAGTTTCAATGTTAAGATATACAAAAAATAAGTTTCTTATTTTTCCTTCGGTTTTAGATATTTATTTCTACAAGAAAAAACCGAAAAAAGTGAGTTTTTTTAATAAAAAAATGAGGAAAAGTAAGAAGTATCTAAAAGAATGAGAAAAGCGAACCATTCTTGTGCTTGCACTGAAAAAAAAGATTGACTGCTGCAGCAAATTAGTTGGTAAAATATGACATAGCATTTTTAATTGGCTGCTGCAACCAATTAAAAATGCTATGCCATATTTAACCATCTAATTTGCTGCAGTAGCCAATCTTTTTTTCAGTGTGTGATATGAGATATGTATATACATGTTTTATGTCATGCATTTATTAAATTTAATACACTAAATCCAATCCGTATATTCTGTATGTTTTGGATATAAATCCCGTCCGCTATAAATGCTGTATGTTCTAAACAGGTAGTTCGAGGTAGGATATGCAAGACATCAAGCTGAACAAAAAATGGAGCAAGTACAGGGTGTCCCACGGGAAAGTGTTGAAACTAATCAGTTGTCATTTTCGAAGGTATTCAATTATTGAAAAAACAAAAATCGCGCTGAAAAGAGGAAAGTCTGCAATTTTTAATGAGTATAAATAAAATTTAACAAAATATTTGTGTATCAATTGATTTTATTGATGAAAAATATGCTCATAATCCCGAGGAGTAATTTTTTCGGAGTGCGCATCATCTGAATTTGTGCAAAACACAATTTTTGTTACGAAAATTCATAAAAACTTTTTCTAACATATCGTTTTTAATATTGCTAATAACTTTTTAAATAGCTGCTACTAAATCTGAAATTGTTTTTCGATCTTATCTTCAATCTTAAATATTAATCTCAGCGTTTACTTGATTTAAGCATATTTTTCATCAATAAAATTAATTGATACAAAAACATTTTATTAAACTTTATTTATACTCATTAAAAATTGCAGACTTTCCTCTTTTCAACGCAATTTTTGTTTTTTCAATAACTGAATATCTTCGAAAATGACAGCTGATTAGTTTCAACACCTTCGCGTGAGACACCTGTATATGTATTTTGCGCTCCATCTTTTATCATCCCTCTACATTTATGTATCACCAAATAACCATTAAACTTTTTGCTCTCCTTACAGTAATAATTTTATGTGAGTTATGATACATGGCGCTATTTGCGACATTGACGAATCGATTCAACTGACAACAGTTTTATTAATATGAATAGTAAAAAATCATAATACCAATAACATAAAGGCATATATATATATATATATATATATATATGTATATGTATATGATAGACTAGTTGTACGTAAATTCTATTTTCATTTATTTGTAATCATGTAAAATATTTAAAAAATATTACAATGATACTCTTTTTCGAATGTTTAATTTGAAATTGATGTGGTAATTAATGGACGATAAGTAAATGTATTGACCGTTTTAAATGTAAATGTGTGTCTCTTTCCATATTGAACGAAACTGAGTAAAAGAGAAACGTATTAACGCGTTCTCATTCATCAACTGAAAAACGAGTACTGAAAACGGATAATCCACTCAAAATGTACATACTTGCGTATACGTTGTCACTCATCAGCGAAAAATCAAGTATTGGAAACGGGCAAGTATTGGAAATTGGAATCTCCTCAAAAATACTCACACGCATACTCGTGTATATTAGTCATCCTTCGCCATACACTGCGAGTGCTTGAGAATGCAAGGAATGGGCAAGGAGGGGCTAAAAACGGGCTAAAAACGGTCCATATGAGATGTAAAAACAGTTAAAAATTTGTATAAGGAATAAGTTGAGCGACTTAGTACTTTTACCGTTGCGAATATGTAGCATTACACTAAGCAAGCATGGCCGCCTGTCACGAAACATAAGCTGTGCACTAATCTTATTTCGTATTTATTAAATATGTGAGTATTTTTTTGTTAATACTATAAATGCTATTTTCTTTAAATAATCTTATAGGCACACACAAGGGACTGAGATTTAAACTGATAACAAAGTTTGCGGGCATTTTTTGTAAATAAAATTTAATCGAATAAAATAGAAAAGTGAATAGATATGATTAATGCAGAATACATATAAAGCAAAAAGTTAGTAAATAACTCTAAATTTATGTCATGAACATGGATTGTAACAGATATTTCGTAATTATGACACTCCAAAAGAATTGAGATTTTCATGCATAAAAGTTAATTTTTAAACATAAATAAATTAAATTGTCATTTCTTCATTGGTTGCCTATATAGATATAGTTATAATCTTTTTCTATGATGAAAATCAAATACAATTTAACGTATCTAAATGTATTTAAAAAGTGTGACACGCATAATTCCAATTTTTTTGGAATCACCCATATCTAATCACCCGCTATCTCAGAGTTTAATGCAATGTTGTAACAATAAATTGTTTAACATGAGATCTATGGAATTAATTTGATTTATTAGAATATTGATATTACACGTATATACTGAAAAAAAAGATTGGTTGCTGCAGCAAATTAGACAGTAAAATATGGCAAAGCATTTTTAATTGGCTGCAGCAGCCAATTAAAAATGCTATGCCATATTTTACCATCTATTTTGCTGCAGCAGTCAATCTTTTTTTTCCGTGTACAAACGCAAAAAAAAAAAATACTTGTTTTCTTACCTTTTGGATTCAGTCTTTCAGGATTAAACCATGCGTCTGTAAATAATACAAATAGAATATTAGTGTCGTATTTCATTCTAACGCACGCCTGTCTAATTTGAGCTCCGGAGCTAAAACGCAAAGTATTAACGCAAAAAATCAATACGGGTAAGATTTCAAGAAAAGATTTCTGTAAAGCAGAACGCTCAGACGCGTTTCATGCTGCCGCTCAGACAGTTTATGAAATTTTATTATCATTGAATTTTTTTGCGTTTTGGCTCTGGAGCTCAAATTGGACAGGCCTGCTCTAACGTATAAAATGCAAATTGTTACAGATTAAGTTTCACTAATTGAGGTGTTTGATTGCAATCTTAAGTAATAGAATTGAAATTTTTTATGATATATAAAGCCCTCTTAATCACATAAATTTTAAAAACATTTATAATTATTTTATTTTACAATATTATATACAATAATTTTCAAGACCGTAATGTGTCAATTTAATTTGTGATATTACTACTTCAGTTCTGTTAGAACTGCGTTTTAAGACTAAAAATTAAATTTGGAACGCAGTTTGCAGGATTAGATATATAGTACATAAATTCATACAAAATTATTTAAGCATTAAAGATCCAGTTTGATCATTTAGGGGCTTTATTTCTGATTTATTTTATTTTATCCCCTTTAAATAAACATTTATTTATTAATCAACGTTTACAGAAGATATTCTTATCAATAATATAGTATCATTATTTTTCTTTTACTTCATTTCATGTCAAAAAACTAAATTTTAATGAAATTTTATATTCAATTAATATAATCTTAGAACTAATTAAAAAAAAAAGACAGACAACTAAAGTTTGAAAGAGAGTTTAATAAAGTGCAAAAATCCGATACGACAAAAGAGTCGTTTGCATGAACTTGAAGCTACACAAACATTATAAATCAATTCTGTTAATGCTCTCAGGATAGGTTGGTAGAAGAAAGAAAATGATACTAATTATAGAAATGTATTCGACACAATGTCAATGAATGCAACGAAAATTGTACGTTTTTCTTCACATTCTACCATTTTTAATATTCAAGATTGTGCAAATTATTATTATACTTGTAAAAATTGATTATTAATTTTTCTGTAAAAGAGGAATCGTTCATTGTAAAAAAAAAACAGAAATAAAAGTTTATTACTCGAAATAAAGAATTAAATAAAACTAAGAAATGTAAGAGATCGTAATTTATCCCAGACGCGACGTGTTCTTCTTTGAACTTATTTGTCAGGTTACGCTTCTATTAATAATTATATAATAAATCGATACGGATAAGAGATTGTTACCCTACAATAAAATAGAGAGTTGCCTTGTTCAAAGGCTATCAAAATACTGTAGAGTGATTCGAAAAAGAGCAAATTTTATTATTAATTTGTCAAATATTATGCTTGTTAAGCATTTCGTTTAATAATAAAAGATGTGTTTTTTAATAATATATTGCCATTTATGGAAACTTACTGCATTATATTAAAAGTCTATAGATTTGCTAATATTGGACATGAGCTACCACGAGCTACTCATTCAATGAGTCATCACAATTCTCTACTTGAAACCATTCTCGTTATTTTACTCCATAAACAAAAGACGAACGAAGTAAGTACGCAACACAGAAAAAGATCAAAGGAATCAATACCCTTTCATCGTTTATGTATACGTTTTTCCCTTATATTGTAAGATTAATATTATGCAGCTCGAAAACATATGATTTAAATAAGAGTCCTTTAAAAAATTTTTTTGTTATTCACGTCATCTATAAATACTAGTAAATTTACAGCAAATTTTGCAGTGTAGAAAATGTTCGAAAAATATATTTAAAAGTATCGACGAATATATTACCATAGCCTGTAAAGCAATATGATATGATATTAAATAAAAAAGCACGTCACTCAAATAATTTTGCAGCACTAAACCTTAATCAACAGAAGCATTAGAAGAGTGCTCTATTATTACACCGAATATTAATGTAATAAGTGGCAGATAACGATTCGTGCGTTAGATGAAAATGCGCAAGGTGTATAGTGCTCGATAATGAAACGTCAACGATTTCCTTCAATGTCACATATATCCAAGACTTTATATATCGCGGGAAATAATCTCGAAACTACACGCCAGTAAATTATAAGCACGCGCACAAATCCCGGAGAGCCAAGCTTCGGCAATCGATCGTATGTGCACTGCGCAATATGACTCCTGTTGCCTTGAAACCGCAACACGTTATAAGTATTTTTACTTTTGACTTTGGAATCAAGTGAATCATAGGCGATAAAAAATCGACTAAGCTAAGCTTTACTTGGATATAAACTTGGAGACGAAACTACGTAGACACCACTAGTAAACGTCGTCTTTGTAATATATATTATATATATTTTAAATGTATTACACATGCATACATCGTGGATATTTACATATCATTAACCTTGTACGCGTTATCTAGCATTGCAGTAAAGTACTTATCTCTACTTGCAAAAATATCTTTTATTTTCTTGTTAATTTTTCCTTAAAGCGTTAAAGATAACGCGCACGATTATATACGAATAATTTTTACAAAAATCCTGTCTTAATAAAATAATTATATTAATTAGAAAAAGTATTAAAATACAAAACAAGAGAGTTATATAAAGTTCGGTAATATAATAAAGAAGATGAGATTCTTTGCACAAAAATAATATAATATTTGTTGTAAAGAATATATCAATCAAGTTATTAATAAGCATTTTCTTTGCGAAGGTGCAGGATACAAGAATAGACAGACTAACTGAATAAAATTATTATCATCTTCCCGTCGTTAATCTATTAAAGTAATGATAATTCAGTTATGCAATTTACTTTTAATAATCAGTTGTCACTGTTATACTCTAAAGCTGATGGGATGACTTTGGCATAAAGTTCGAAAGTCGATTGTATGAACGTCGTCACGATTGGATCTCGTGGCGTTATGCAATTCAAGGTCACGATGATAATTATTTCAAATTGCAAGAAATCATAACGCGTACCATGCTGCCGTACTGCGAAATCAGAATGTCATCCGCTCGTCGAACAAACGTATAAAAACACAGTGAATTATATCGATTTCATTAGCATATCGCTGTTCAATAAAAACATTATCAAAGTACAAATAATAATTATATTAATAATCATATAATAATAATAATATAAATCACAATATAAAGTAGTCTCGATGTTTTATGAAAATTTTTTATATAAAACTTCTGATATTCGTCCGAACCATTAATAATGTGGTATCAATTATAGTAGTGTAAACGCGACACGTCATATTTAAAAGTCTTACAAATTTATAATTTATTAAAATATAATACAACATTTATTTCGGAAGAAAAGATTCAATTAAGTCAATGATAATCTATAAGCCCCAGATGATGCATTTTCCTATTTTGAATCATTGCAACTCAAATCCAGATTAAAATATTTAGACAGTGAATGGTCTTTAGGGATAGAAAAAGTTGCTTTTACCGAATTCTAATCGGTAATAAGATAGGATGTCTAGGAAAAAGATTGAAAAAGTTGAAGGTAAAGGTAAGAAAACTAAAAGTGATCCCAGCCTTTTAACTGATAAATATTCAACTAATAAATGAATTCATCTACCTTTTTGAGCTAGAATGAACAAATAGACATAATTATTATTTGAATGATCTATAATAATTAATCTTAATTATAAGATCACTAATAAAAGAAATAAAGTTAACTGCTCCTTCCTTGCTATTCAAAATGAAATGTTTACGATTGCTTTTTGTTTAAAACAACGATCAGCATCGTTTCTATGGCCTGTTCTATATTGAATCTATCTGTTCATTTTACACAGAGAGAAAAATGTTTGGTATTTGTAACTATAATTATATATTACTATAATTATGATTATTATAGTAGTAATAATCATAATTATAGTAATATATAATTATAGTTACAAATACCAAACATTTTTCTCTGTGTAGGTTGAACCCATGAGGTTCGTTTTTACCGTAGATGTACCGTAGAGTACCCGTAAGAAAATTCTTATGAGTCTGTGCTACAAGGGTTGCAAGTCGTAAGCCGTAAGAAACTGACCAATCACAGTTGAATATGAACAAAATAATCGCCTATGATTGGTTAATTTCTTACAGCTTACGGTTTGCGACCCTATTGAAGAACGGGCTTGTAAGAATTTTCTTACGGGTACTCCATCTACGGTAAAAGCAAACTTCAGCCTAAAATGAGCAGGTTCAATATAAACGCGAGTGGTAGGTGTTTGCATAAATGTTATTTGCAGATAGTCGACCGATCGATAACCTAGTTTCGATTGGAGATTCTCCGATATCGGGCAGGTAGCATCTGCGCAGGGCGAAACCCGGGTCACCGACATGAAAGCCGATAAGGATTAAAATTACCTGCTATCCAATTTCGTTAGCTTCTCGATGAGAAGTCACCGTACGAAAAAGCTTGCCATCCCAAATCGCTCGGGGATAGACAGAATATAATAAAAAAGGATACGTACATATAGTTCCCACGAGTTACTTATTTGACAGGTGAAGTTTCGAATTTATCGAGTACTCCGAAGAGGAGTAAAGAAGAAAGAGAAAAAGAAAACCATCTTTTCGGAAGGGTGTACCTTCTAGGGTATACCGAGGTAGGTAGAGTCATCGAAAAAAATCTTACGGGGGTTCAGAATGTTCCAGAAACACGGATTGCTGTTGGTCATCGATGCGGAGTTGGCGTCGGCGCTGGATCGCTTGCAAACCTCATTGCCTTCGTCAACGTTCTTAGTGACCGCGGGATACGTCGCTGAGTCCAAATCCGCCATTCTTACGCACACTTGACCAACGTCTTTGCGCGACGCGCACTTCCCTCACTGTTTGTATTTGTCGATCGCTACCGTCCACCAGTACGGAATGTTCTCTCCTGCGTGTCAGCGCGCCTGGCGAACGTTCCCAGAAATAATGGCGTATCTTGTCGCGCGCGCGCGTACTGAATGACGCACTTCGGCGACGGCGACGGCGACGACGACGACGACGACGA